TTAATTCTCGAATTCCTGCATTAATTGTTACATGCTATTTGAATTATGTGCCTTAATTGTTATTTGACATTTAGCATATTAAATATTAAACTGCATATTTTCTCTCTGATTTTCATAATAATGTGTTATTTGCCTTTGTTTGTTTCATAATAAAATCATAATTATTGTATGCTTGTTATCTTATAATTTTATATTAATTGTTACATTTATTGGGGAAATTTCTTCTATAAGATTGGTAAATGAATATATTGGAGGATCGGGTTGCACGCCGCAACAGAATTAATTATAATGTATATATTGGAGGATAAGGTTGCACGCCGCAACAGACTTATTTAAAAGTCGATATACATATATATATATATATATATATTGGGGTATCGGGTTGCACGCCGCAACAGACTTGACTAAAATGAATATATTGGAGGAGCGGGTTGCACGCCGCAACAGAACTGAATGTGAATATATTGTGAGAGCGGGTTACNAAATAAATATATAACAGACTTGACTAAAATGAATATATTGGAGGAGCGGGTTGCACGCCGCAACAGAACTGAATGTGAATATATTGTGAGAGCGGGTTACACGCTGCAATAGAATTGAATGTGAATATATTGTGAGAGCGGGTTGTACGCTGCAACAGAATTGATGAAAATGATAATTGGTTATGACTGCTGAGTTGGCTTCAATTATTATAAATGAGTTACCTGATTTATTTCTATTATTGTTGTTGTTACTAATATTGCGTACAGGTAATGTAAGTGACCCGCCTTAGCCTTGTCACTACTTCGTCGAGGTTAGGCTCAACACTTACCGGTACATTGGGTCAGTTGTACTGATACTACACTCTACACTTCTTGTGCAGATTTCGGAGTTGGTCCCAGCGGCGTGCCATAGACTTGCTAGGATTTCAGCTACTCGGAGGAGACTGGAGGTATAACTGCATGGCGTCCGCTGTTCTGAAGTCCCCGTTTATTTTACTCTAGCCGTGTGTTTATTTTCAGACAGCTTTATTTTATTCAGACCTTTAATTGTATTTATTCTAGAAGCTAGTGCACTTGTGACACCAATTCTGGGATGGTATTTAGACACCGTTATTTTTATGGATTATTCACTATATTTTAGACTTTACTTCTATATTTGTTCTTTGTTATTAACAAATTTAAAAATTATTTTAAAAATGGATAATATTATTCTAACATTGGCTTGCCTAGCAAGTGAAATGTTAGGCGCCATCACGGTCCGAATGAGAGAATTTCGGGTCGTGACATAGACAAGCAACAAAATATTTTCCTATAACAATTGCTTCTTATTCCATCTTTGTTCTTCCAACCCCATTTGTATATTTTAGTATTGTCGCTTGAATCTTTCCAGCCAAACCTTGCGGAGATTCTGATTTTTTGCTATGAATGCCTTAGCTAACATATCACTTTGCACGCAAATAATCAAAAGTTTCACCTAAGAACTCTTCTTCATAACCTTTTGTTGCCATAATTTCTTCGTACAATATTGTCACATCTAATCGACTATCAGCTATCTTACTAATTGCCGCTGCCACTTCTCCAAATTTTGTTGATATATCACCGACCACATCTTGCACATCAGAAGAACAACTTCGTTTACGACTTGCTTTGACTTGAGAAGTTTCACTTACTACGTCTTGCACAGCTTTTTCCTTTGATGGCCCTTCAATGTCATTATCATTACCTTTCTCCAAACTACAATCCAAGCCGATATCATCAAACGACTTAGTACAATTACCCCTACCTCGATCATTCCCACACAAGAGGGACATTTCTTCAAACATTTCAATCTTTTTGTTAATGAACTTCTCATGAGTAGGATGAGCCTACAATACAACGACAAAGCAAAAAGTATAAGAGACGGGACAAGCAAGACAGTAACAGACAACCACCAATATAGCAGTTAATCCAGCTAAACAGATAGCAAACAGGACAAGCAAGGCAAATGGACTACTTCACATGGTAGGGAAAATGTATAAAACCAGAATGACAGACACCATAAATATAGAACTCCAAAATTATTACCTTTAAATATAAACATGAATAAACATGAATAGTTATTCTTTCCAATGAGAAATCATTCTTGATACCACTTCGCAAAGGGACATCACAATCAACTTGGTACGTGATCACAATCAACTCAAACTCTTCTCACTACTATCTACTGTTAATACTATAATATCTCAACAACAAATGCAGTTCCAGAAGAGCTAAGAAAAAGTGATCGCCTTGAAATTTTTAATAATAGAGAAATTTGTCTAGGGCCAACCCTTAGGATCAACCCATAGGACTAACCACTACTATCGTAACTCAATCTTTGCCGCTTGAATGCCTTGTTAATATGAGCAAAAAAGTATTTATATATAAAATTCTTACAAGCAAGAAGTTCCTGTACAAAGACCATATATTTACTGCCCAATGAAACATAAGGAAACAAAGAATCTACATCCATTAATCAAATTTATAATGTAAATTCCAACGTAACAAAATAATCAAATCCAATGCAAGGCTATGTAACCCAACAAACAGATACATTTATTAGGATTAAAAATGTTACTCTTTATTCTTATCAAGCTAACAAGAAGTTACTATCAGATTAAAGGAAAAAATTACAAAATGGATAAAACAAAATAATAGTAGTAGTAAGTTCCCATTGGTTGTGTTCTCGGGCAATGTGTTAGCTTTCTCAGTATTCTGCTCGAACTCCTCCTGAAGGCGCAAATACATGAAACATTAGCAATTTGTTGGGTAACAGTAGATACAAATTGCCTTTTCACATAAGACACACTGTAGATAGGGTTCTAAATGGCACCATCATCACAAACACAAATTGCCTTTTCTCAGCATATTTATTTTTTTCTTTTTATGAAATACTTTAGGTTGAATAAGATACCTTGCCGGACTTGAAACCCCCGTGGTCTCTCCAATGCATCATTTAATATGCGTGAGTCATGAGCAGATCCTTCCCAACCAGCAAACACATATGTGAACTTCAAATTAAAGCTGATAGCAGCCAAGATATTTTTTGTTGTTGTGCCTTTGCGGCCACGATACCTATTTTGGTGTTCGATAGGAACAAATGCAAGCACATGTGTGCCATCTATTGCTCATACACGGTCATATATGTACAACTAAAGTTAATAATATATACTGATGTTCAAAATTAATTAAAAACTTAATATTTAATATGTTACTCACAACAAACCAAGGGTAATAACGATGGTTGTTCCTTTCTCCGACCAGATAGTATCATTCGGTGATTTCACAAGGGTTGGACGGAGCTTCAAAATTGCTTGAAGTACAGTTTGGAAGAATCGATGAATAAATTCAATCGACCTATAAAAATGCGACCCTATCTTGCGAAACCGTTCATTAAAACCAACAATTTCTAAGAAAATTAGTACTTGTTCTTGCACAGACATATTTTTGGTTGATCTCAAGAAATTATTTCTTCTAAGAGAATTACACAATTCAAAAAATACAGCCGACTCTCATTCTTATCTGACCAACACAATGAACATTACTTCCATTCAAAATACTATTCATATAAAATTCCCTCTCCTGGTCCTTATTGGTATAAGGTGCTCTAGGAATGTTACTTTGATTTTCGTAGGCTAAAATAATTATAGCCCCACCAGCTAAGACAGATGTGGCTGCCGCTCCAACTATTGCATCATCTTCGTCGTTCTCAATCGAATCCATCCGTTGCAACCCAACTTTAGAACTTCTACTCATAAAAATGGATGGATTAAAACATTAAAGAGCCTAAAAGAAATCGAACTTGGAACTAGTAAATCACTCAAACAGCCCAAAGATATAAGAATCTGTAGATTTCTTGTTTCTAGTATATTGTCCATACGAATCTTTTACTTTCATTGGTGTTTAGTTATTAACTAAAGAATTGCAACCAACTTAATACACATCATACAATCCTTTGGAGAAGATTAGGATTAATGTGGGATTAAAGCTGTCACTGAAGAAAAAGTACTACAAAATATGAAAAGAGTGGATTAAAAGTATGTAACTGTCTCTTCAAGAAAAAAGAATAAGTACCAAAGCCAATTTGCATTTGTACCATTAGTACGAGCAACAAATGCTAAAAATGGTACTACATATTAGAAAATTTAATTTTCCTACACACTATAGAGCAACCTTTCTTTGTTATTATTAGAAATCATAAGAAAAATGGAGGAATTTTTTTTAACTTCTAACATTTACTAGGGTTATACCAGAAGTAGAGAGATCGACAAATCAGAACACAAAAGCACAATCAAAGATCATAAAGCATTTAGGAAAATAAAGATGAAACAACAGAAAACAAAAAACAAAAAAAACTGCATTGCAAAGCATCGACGACAAATACAGTGTTGTTGCCGGAAAACGGTAGATTAGTGCTGCAGCGAGCGGAGAACGAAGTAAAGCTTCGCCAAAACCCTAGATTGGCGCGATGACAGAGGATCTTAAAACCCGAGACTGAAGAGAGAGNGACGCGCGTTTTGTTTTCAGGAAAAAAATTTCCCTTCAAATTTTAGGGAAAATATTTTCCCCCAATTAAAGAAAAATATGTTGGTAGGGAAAATGATTTCCAAACTATTTATGTCAACCAAACATGGGAAAATGGTAAAACATTTTCAGAAAATGTTTTCCTCCCTACCAAACACACCCTTAGTCACCAGATAGTATATTCCTGACTATTAGGCTGCTGTCCAAGCAAGGAAAGGGTTTCCAATCAACAACAAAGGCCACAAATGTGCTTTACAACTCCCATTATGTTATTACCTCTTCAGAACTGCAGCACCAGAGCAGGAGAGTTTCATTTAATATAAATGCCAACATTTGCAGAATGGACAGAGACTAACTCAATGGAGGCCAAACTAACTACATAATTCATGTACATCCTATATCTACTGAGATCAGTGCCCCAGTGCTAATTCTAAAAGACACTTCCAGAGGAAGGTGAAAGGGGAAATACACATATCATGCAAGAATCAAATTGGTCTATGTTGCATTGAAAGGAACTCATAAAGCAAAAGAGGAAACATGTAGATTGAAGTATTCAGAGTTACGCTTTCACCAAAAACATTAAGAACAAGGTAGCAATTAGAGGAATCAACAAGTTTAAGATGCAACAAGGAGTTATTATGGCTTGTAGTACTTGGTGGGTACAAAAGGCATCTTGGTAACCGCTCCATCATAGGACTTCCCTCGAATCACAATCTTGACATTGGTGCCTGCTTTGTGGTTACCCGTTTTTACGTATCCCATTGCTATGTTCTTCTTAAGACAAGGGCTAAAACCACCACTGGTGATTTCCCCAATATTTTGTCCATTTGAATCTTGAATCTCACTGTGACTTCTAGGGGGTGGGCCTGAAGAGAAAAAGCCAACTCGCCTGATTTTAGGACCTTCTTCAATTTGTTTTAGTATTACCTCAGCACCCAGGAAACCTCCTTCTGCCCTTCTTCTCTTCCCTATGGCCCATGTCAGCCCTGCCTCTACAGGTGTTATGTGCTGCTCCATATCATTACCGTATAAGCACAAACCAGCCTCAAGCCGAAGACTGTCACGAGCTCCTAGACCTGTTAACCGAACTTTCCCTTCTGATTTCTCCAGAATAGCTTTTGCAAGGTCAACAGCATTTTCTGAAGGTACCGAAATTTCAAATCCATCTTCACCTGTATACCTGAAAACCTCTCGAAACACAGAAATTATATCAGTGCTTGTCTCAAGCAAAGATTTCTTGCGTAAGGATCAATTGCTAAGCGTAATAGGAAGCAGGAAATAATTGCATGGAGAGAAATTAGCACACTGAATAACAAGAAACAGAGAAAAGTTGCCTTGTGGATACAGACATAGCTTGTTTTACATATTTAGTGTGCAATACCAAAGGGGTATTCGACCAACCAGACAAGCAAGGAATAACCCGTTATTTAACACTTAACAAAGGATCTGCCGGACGAAATGCTTGGCACTGTTCATTTATCTGAAAAGACTCTGATTTTGAACTCAGAAATATTCTTAAAAAGTAAATCAAACTAAAGGATAATGTTTTTTTTTCCCAGGCACAGACTCAGCACTCAAGCTTGAAGAGGAAAGCAAGAAAAGAAACATACCCTGTCCTTGTGAGGAAGCACGGTGCCCCATTGATGTCCAAAACCCTGAATTCCCCAAAGTACATCTTGCTCAAATCATCTTTTGTCAGATGTTGAAGAACTGGAGCAGCAAGGGGACCCTGAAAAAAGAAGCCACGAAAAATTCTGTAACTATCACGACAAAAAATAAATTTAAGAATGTACCCATGAAATGCAGCTCCTGTAAGTTTCCTAAGATAAGTGAATTTACTAAGAGCTTGGAATTAGCAAACAAAAAAGCACAACCGCTTAAATGATCTCCTGAATTTTCACATTCTATATCCACTGTGAAGATGGATGTCGCTTTTTCTTATCCTTGTCTACTAAAGTGCCCATTTTCGATCTATTGATCAGATCTCAGAGCATGTGATAAACATTATACTCCTATTTATGATAAGAGCATATTTATATAAAGCACATTGGCATGTACCAATTGTTGGAAAGAGCGAGCTAACCTGAAGTGCTAAAAGTGATCTCTCATCATGGATGTGCCATGAAACATCACCACCTTTTGACTTGAATGATTTCATATGCTCCTCAATGTGTGCAAGATCCTTGTCCCTGCAACCCGCATTTACGACAAGGTAGAGGTGATCATTTGTAACCTTGGTGATCACCGAATCATCAATTGCACCTCCCTTCTCATTTGTGAAGACAGTGAGAGTGCCAGTCCCAGGAGCAAGGCCAGCAACATCAGCAATAACAAGCTTTTCTAGGAAAGGAATAGCATCTTTTCCCTTGAGACTTAGGCCACACATATGAGCAACATCAAAGAGGCTACCGTTCTCCCTACAATTTATTGTAGAGTCCATAATTGAGTCCTTATACTGGATAGGCATACTCCAACCAGCGAAAGGCACCATCTTGCCCCCATTAACAACATGGAAGTCGTATAGAACAGTCTTCTTGAGTTCAGCATCTGAAGCGAAGCATCTGCGACCAATAGTCTTCTTATCAGCCTGAGCCAAACGCCTAGTGATCGATTGCCCAAGTTGCCACAATCCTCCTCTCATCTTTCCAAATAATCTGAGCAGTTTATAGATGAACCATCAAAATTAAGACTTTGAAACTGATCTGGGTGTTTCGAGGCAAAAACTAATCCATCTAATTTAGAAATATCTAAATCAGACTGAGAAACTATCCAGAAGACCATTCTCCTTAGTGACAAGAGAATAAACAGAAAGTGAGAATGTGTATTATGATAACCAACTCATAAATCTTCTAGTAAAGTAAATTTTCTAAGTTTAAGTTTTATTAGAAAGTATGATAATTTAACTTGTCATGAGACACTTCGTGCAAGAGTCATTAAAATTGCAATGGCTAAAGTAAAGAAGCTATGGAATTTGAAAATTTATCATGATCTTGAGCCTGTGCATCGACTTAAAATCATTGAGCAGGCAACTTGAAGAGTATATAAACTTTCACTAGTACATGTATTAATCCGTTTGATTCAATGACCCTCAACACCACTCTTTCTTAACAATAAATTTTAACTACTTTATCCATCCTAAATCACACCAAAATGTTGAAAAGCCTCATCTCTTTTATGTAATTTGGTGTGTTACATGTGATTCTAACAATATTGAATCTATCCCTAAGGGTCAATTGCTTTTATCTCTTTGAAGAAGGAGGAACGCTTTTATATACACAATAGGATGTAAAAAAGATTGGGAACCACACAACAGAAACAATTAATTAAGTGTGCAAATTGTGTCAGCATTCACCAGTTCAGATCCAAATACAATCATCTCAATGACAGATCTCTAAGGTTGCTGAAAGAGAATAAATTGAGGACAAAAGGTTACAATCTTGTGTTTAAAGTAGTAAAGGAATGCTAATTACACGAGAAGAGTTGATGAAGAGATAAAAGAACACTTACCACCTTGCAAAAGATTGAATCTTTTAATTCTTGAAAAGATAAATCTGAGAGCTTAAAAGAGCTCAGTCATAGCAACTTATATATGGACAGAGAAAAAAGAGGCTGCCTTTTTATCGATAAATACCAATCTTGGAGTTGGTGGTAGGCAACAAGGAAAAACAATTACTAATATTTATATTTGTAAAAATATTATTATATACATATATATTATTAAAAAATAGAGATTTGTTGGTGGGAGAGAGTGAGAGTGGGTGGATGAGGTTTTCTGTTCCAAATCGAGAACCCATCTTTAGTGAGTGGTAGGAATTTGGGTGGTAGAGGATTACAAACTTCCAATTTCTCAAGAGTTGAGATGGCCTTTTCACAAACTCTATTCATTTCTCTTTCGTTTGTTTGGTACCTTTAACGCCTATTTTTGGCCCCATTCTTTATACTAAATGGAGGGTTTGGATCTAAATAATTTAAATCTCAAGTCATTAAGTGTAATATTTTTTCTTTTACATTTATTTATTTGCTTTGAACAAATGTGATTCCTTTAGACTTACAATGAGCTTTAAAATTATTAAGGTTGTGTTCATTTAACCATTCATGTGAAGGTACCTCTAATTTTTACTATTACTTTATTTACTATCGTCGGCTCACCACAGAATTGCTAGGACTGGTTTTCATTGCACACTCATAATCATCAACCACCATTCCCAATCGCGGCCGCTTTCAGTCACTAGTGCCTACCATTACCACCAATTTTGATATGCAATTATTACCACAAATCACATTGTTGACCATACAATCACCACTACCACCTTTGTCATCAGCCACCACTTCAAGACTCACTTAGTTGTGACTTGTAAATTTTGTACTCCATTATTTAGTCAGAATTATAGGATTGGATCTACGAAAAATAGTAAAAGGAAATATTAGGCTGGGGGAGTAATTAGAGCTGCGTGATACTACAATTTATCATTCGTTCACGACTAGTACTATGCAAACCTATGCTTAACGAGAGGACAAAATGGAGATAATTGTTAAACCTAATTATTTGAAACTGAACCCATTAGAAGAGCACAAATCAATATAGTGTGCAATGAACGCGTTTCAGATCCCGTGCCAAAGAATCCATTCCATATGAAAAATGGAAAGGGAGGAAGTCCAACTTGAATTATTTTAAAATGTGGGGGTGTTTGGCAAAAGTGCAAATTCCTAAACCCAAAAGGGTAAAGATAGGACCGAAAACCGTTAATTGTGTTTTCATATAATATACAACAAATAGAAAAGCATATCGATTTCTGGTTCATAAATCAGAAAATTCCGACATTCATAATAATACG